GGGGCTCCTGTTTATACTACTGGTCTTCCCCAATGGAATGCTCTATGGCTGGTTGGGCTACATCTCCCATTTCCTATCTGCTGATGGGAACAGCAGTCATTGGACAACACCTGGTCGGGGAAGACTGGCATAGATTCTTATTCAGAAAGGATTCTATTTCTGACACTTAATTTATGAAATGTAGAGATCCATTGATCTCTTACTTTGAATAACAATCAAAGAAGCCTGAGTAAACACCACCGCTTGCCTTCTACTTCAGCACAGGCTCATCTTCCACAAGAGATTGTACTTTGGAGCCAAACTCTGTCATGAACAAGGGTGTCCACAATATGTGGTCAAAAAAGTTAAGATGGCAGCTACCACAGTGCGAAGTACGTAAAAAGTGGTCAGAGCTTCAATCGCACCATTGTGGCCCCCATCTTGACTTTTTTGCCACGTCCTGCAGACACTCCAGTTTTGCATAATGGGGGCTACTGCTTTGCACTCTGACTTGGGGGAAAACCCCAATAAAAATGGTCAGCACAGGACACGAGGTGGGGAGCTTCATGTGGAAGTGGAAGGAACAGTACGCGAGAAAGAGGGGAAGTGCGTGGGTAGGTTGCTGCAGTAATGTGTCAGTCCCAGATTGGGGAGCCTCTGTTGCAGATTCCTGAATCCCTGGCCTTTCTGGTTGAATGATAAGAGGCTTTTTTTTTTTTGACAGAACCGCTGTTTTTTTTAGCGCAGGGATCACTTTGGTACAAGCAAGTAGGTAGGAGCAGCACAGGTTATTTTTTAAAAATTAGATTTTTATACTGCCTTTCCTTCAGGAGGAATCTCCCTTCATTTTAAGCCCCCCCCCCCCAACAATCTGATCAGATAGGCTGAGCTGAGAGAGAGTCATCCATTGAGAATGGACTGAAGTCTGGCCTCTTGGTTCTCTGCCCACCCCTTCCCCACTGCCCCACCCTGGCTCTCCTTTGCCTCGGAGAAGTGGAACCGCGCAGCGGCTCAGTCCAGTTCACATCCAGGAAAGGTGGAGCCTGTCCTCCCCATCCATCTTCCTCCTACAGGCTCCAAGTGGGGAGTCTCACCCACAGAAATGCGTTTGGGACCCCACCCCCGGCAGCTTAATCCGGTGTTTCATTTGACTTTCTGATGGGGGAGAGTCCAAACTTGGTTTTGGCTGCGATTTTGCTGCATTCAAATAGATGTGAGTTACTGCTGGAGCAAGCTTGCTCCTCAACTTTGAAAAAAAAAGATATTCCAGTGACATCCTTATTAAAATCAATGAATGATTTCACACCACGTGCTAAGTCACAGTTTGTCTAATCATGTGAATAACTGAATTCTAAACATGCTAAACTATAATGTCTATCTATATTTTCCCCATGTTTCTCTCCCCTCCCTCCCTCCCTCCCTCCCTCTCCGTGTGCATTTGCTTCCAAACTTCTTTACTTTGAAAGAAATTGGGGGGGGGGGAGGAATATGCGCTGTTTACAATGGAATATTCTGCTCACTTAGCTAGGAGTAAGTCTCGCTAAAGTCATGGCACTGGTTTCTCTGAGTAAGTTCCTCTGCCTGGTAAACAGTTTTTGGGACTTTGCCTAATTTTCTCTGAAACCAAAAAGAGCCGCGTCTTAATCAGTCGTTTCAGCACATTTTAACGGAAAGGCAGGGTATAAATGTAAATAAATAAGTAACTAAGTCCATCTGTCAGGTAAGACGTTCACCCAGGCGTGCGCGCCTACAGTCTCTCCAGTTTGAAAGAAGAGGTCCTTCCAAGCGCAAAATATGCAATCCAGTACAGGTTTACTTAGGTGTAAATCTCATGGAAACGACCAAAACTCATTTGGGGGTAAAGAGACAGCGGGCCTGTCCCTGAATTAGGACTGCAAAAATACCGACGGCCACTAGGTTTGCTTTTTAATTGTTTTTAATTTGCTGCCATTTAGTGGTGGACAGGAATTTTGCAGCCAGATTGGGTGCTTTTCTTGAATTGTTAAGCAGCTAAAGTGCATTATGTCTGTAAATCCCGGTTTAACGGTGTCTTAAATTACAGCAAAAAACAAAGAAAAAAATCCAAAACAAATTTTAAAAAACCAACCAACCCCCCCCCCCCTTTCTCCACACACATATCAGCCACTTAATACGATTCTCCGCACTTTTATTTCCGGGTGGCTCTGCGCAAGATTGCGCCGTAAGGAAGCCGTTCGGCCCCGGCGCTTGACCAAGCGACTCCCCTCTCCTTTCCTCCCCCCGCCCCACTCCGAGCCCCTGCAACCCCAAGCTTCAGACAAGACAACAAGAACAAACAACAACAACAAGGGTAAAGAGAAACAGATGGTTGGACTAAGTCGCGAGAGCCCTTCGCCTCGGGGGATTGGCAGAGCGCACCAAAGCTCAGGCGGGGCACGAAAGCCCGAACGGGCGGGGGGG